CTGAGATCACACCAGACCTTCACTGAAGCTTCTGGCCTGTATCTGCTGGATTTCTGCTGCCATGTGATTGGCTGATCGGATACTTGCATTTATAAGCAGGCGTTCCTAATAAAGTGCTCGGTGATGGTAAAATCTTTCTTAAAGTGGCGACAGTTTGAATCACCATTGTGTGTCATCAGTCTGCAGCAGAGCAATAAAAGCAGTTTAATTTATAATTTAATCAATTGAAATAGATTTTACATATAATAAAATATAAGAGAAAAGCCATTTTACCTCACCCGTCACTTTTCTACACATAGTTTTTACACCCTCTTTGTGAGAGCTGTAAGTGGCCCTGACCTGGGTTAGTGTGTTTAGTTTAGTGCGTGTGACTGAGCTGTGTGGACAGCATGAAGTATGGCAGCAACGGAGGGGAGTTGGCTGACCGTCCCACCGAGTCCAGCACTCCTTGTTTGGGTTGGCACCCCATCCAAGAGCCCTCCAATCCAAACACTGGAGGGCCGTTCACAGCCCATTACCTCCGTGACTGACAGGGCAGCCCACCACTCGGAGGGCTGCACATGAAGGACGTCGCTGGTTAGTGCCAGGAGTTTGTCGCTGAGGGTGATGATTTAGGCAGCTGATTGATGTGCCTGTAAAAGCATTTCATAAGCTTTGAGTGGTTAGAAATAGTTGATTTGGATCACCTTCTATGCTGATTATTTTTCTTTTGTCTGGTCATACTTTCTTTTAATAGCAGCATTATTCAAGGTACAGTTTGATAATTATTGGCACTTACTGCAGGCCCCTAGTGGAGCAGGATTTATGGGGCTCAGTAGGACTTTGGTTCTTGCCTTTATATGTCTCTGGTTATGTAAGCACGGCTCCTGACAGGGCTGAGGTGGACGTAAACAGACTCTGTTAAAGTCTAACTCAGTCATGTTAACATGACTGATTATGACTTATAGGCCTTGATTATGTGTCATGCTATGATTCAACAACTCAATTTAAAAACGTAGAATATTACATCACCCTGCTGCCAGTCCCTCCCTGCTCTTATTCACACAGCAGCGGGATAGTAAGGTATATTTATTGTTGCGTAGGGTTTGGTTTTGCAGGAGACATCTAAGCGATAATAGTGTAAACAATGGGTTATATCCCAACACTTTAAAATGTATAATCATGATTGTAACATGGCCACTTACCACTGGAAAAACAGTCTTTTAAAGAGTCAGTTCAACCAAAATGCCACAAAAATAATAAGTAAATTAACTCCAAGCTGTGTCTGTACATGCAGATATTTCTGCTGCCACCCCAAAAACTATAGAGATAAATACACTAGTGATCATTGCTGTAAAGAAATTACTAAAACTGCAGCATAAATTATACTGTTGAATTTCTTAAAGAAATTTTTCAATGTTGTGACCAACGCTGAATCACCGCTCACATCTCAATTAACTGACTAATCAAGAGTTTCGTACGCCTAGCTACATGCGGCTAGCTACCTAGACACATACAAAGTACTGAGCGATAGGGTTGATGAGATGAATGCAGCTAACACAAATAACAACTCATTTTTTTGTTTGTTTTTTATCATCTTGAAAACTGGCACCTGCTCCTTGTAGCTGCTAGCTAGCTACGGATTGGCTAGCATGAAGTCAGTGTCGGGCTGAATGCCACAAAGGAAATTCCTTTGGATTTCAACAGAAATCTCAAAATCAAATATATAAAAACCTTGATGAAACAAAAACTATCTGCGTGGCTAATGATACCACTAGAGGTATAAGTTTAACTGTTAGTTAGCTTAACTGTTAGCTAGAAGCAACTGTAGCTAACAGTTGCTCTGAATCCCTGCAGTTAGACTTTCCTTGAACACAGATTTGGGTGAATTAAGTTTGACTTAGTAGTTTCTGTATCTGTGGTAAAAGCAACAAGTCGTCCCTCTGAATGAATGAATCATAAAACGAGTCGTTTGGTATCCAAAATAGTCTGTCAGTGCCGTCACAAAATGTCCACATGACTGCTTTTCTTTAGGCACAAACACTTGGTAGGAAGGAACGATTGTGACAATTGTAAAAACAAACCAATCTTGACTTTTGGTAGGAAACTGGATATGAAACAACAAGCTCTTGTGTCAAAGTTGCTTTGTTGACCCGTCCGTCTGCCCCCATTATTTCAACCGTAGTTCCTGACAGACAACAGTCAAAACTCTCACACAGCCACTAGAGGTCCTCGTCAGGTAAACATATAAACACAGCTTATTTTGAGGATTTGAATAAAAGACTAATGCTACACTTTTCACTGGGATGGATCAGTCTTGTATTAAGCGCCATAACTGTCCATCACCTCCTTGTTATTCCTGAGAAATCATGAGTTGCGGCTCGCTGGAGGCCAGATGGAAGTGCCGTCCTCAGCGTTTCTCTGCTCTTGCTGGGAACGCAGACTCTGTGGCATTGGTTCTCACCATTAACGGGGCTTCCCTCCTGAATAGGCCCTGCCAAACTATGCAGTGTCCCGCCGAGTCCAGAGATGAGGACATGGGCTTGCAGTGAAGCCTAGCGGTTCCTACTTCCTATCAATGACAACAAGCATCAATCTTAACCGCCCTTAGTCCTGGACCCTGCCAAGCACGACTCCAGTGAGACGAAAAAAAGTCAAAGACTCAGGCTGTTGGAATTAAACAAAGGCTGGATTATCCTCTGAATATGTCTCCTTGCGAGACAGTTCATCTCTGAATCCCCCGTGGTTCAGGGCGGAAGAAACGTCATAATTTTTGTTCTTGACTGCTGCAGTCAAGTCTTCTCCCCTCTCCTTGTTTCCTCTCCTCGCTTCCTCTCCTCTCCTGACCGTCTGTCGGTTGCGTTGAGAGGGCAAATAAAGTTTGAAATAAAACCCAACCCTGTTGCTTCCATTTCGACTCCATCCAAAATACACCATTTAACACTGAATGTGACACTTCCAAAAACATTCCCTGTGACATTTATTCTCTCACACCTGCTGAAATCCAGCAATAACCCCGTTAAATAAGCGAGGTGTGGAGTATTGCTCGGAAGTGGTAGTTTTCACTCGGAGCTCTTCAGGGTTTCCCCCAAACAGTTGAGGAATTCCACCTCGGTTTAACTGATTGGAAACGTCTTCGGTGCAGATCGCCGCGCTCCTCTGCTCTGCTCACACAACACTCACCTTCACTCCTCAGCAGAGTGTTTGTTCAGGTGCGGCGGACCCTCGACCCATTGGGTTTTACGCCCGCCAACCTCGATGCAACTCACAAGTTTATTAAACAGAGAGAAGAGGAGGAGTTGGAGATGTGGCTTTTGAATGATTTCTCAAAATAGAAGGGAGAAATCCCACACTGGGCAAAGCTGTTATTGTGTGTGTGTGTGTGTGTGTGTGTGTGTGTGTGTGTGTGTGTGTGTGTGTGTGTGTGTGTGTGTGTGTGTGTGTGTGTGTTTATAAGTGTGTGTTTCCTAGTCATAGATAGGTTAAAGCAATAGTTTTACATTTTGAGGAAAACTTGTATTTGCTTTCTGGCTAGCTTAGCTTAGCACAAAGACTAGAAACAGATGGAAACAGCTAGCCTGGCTCTGTCAAAGCTAATGTAATCACCCTGTCCCCACCCCTAAAAATTCACTAACGGAACAAGTTATATCTTGTTTGTTTAATCCATACAAAAACTCAAGTGCAAAGACGACGGTTCGTCACTTTACAGGAGGACTATTTCTTAGCTGGGAGCAATAAAACCACCAGAACCAGCAGAGCACATAATCCTTCATAAAAACACATATCCACATGTACATGAAGCACACAACCTTCATAAAACAGCTAATTTTTGCTTTAACTCTTTGGTTTATGAACTGATTGAACAGATGAATTGGAGCATGTTTTATCTCAGGCAAAGCTAGGCTAGCTGTTTCCCACTGTTTCTCACTGTTTTCAGTCTTTATGCTAGGCTAAGCTAGCCAGCTGCTTAATGTCGCTTTATATTTATGAACTACACCTTTTAAAGCAAAGACACGTGGGATATCAAAACCCTTAAAAATCTTTAGATAAACAAAAAAAAATGTGTCGTCATCGAGCTAAAAATGAAGTTTTGTGTAATTTTTTTTCCATTTTTAATAAAGTTTAATAGTTTGATAGTTGATCCTTTAATCACAAATCCCCATCATCACATATCGAGACTGCTACATGAAACTCAACCTCATTTAATGACTCGGGCTGATTTTATTATAATGAATACATTACTGTACATAGTCTATATGGGGCTTTGTGGTTCTGCAATATTTGAAGGTTACTGTTCTCCCTTGTACGGCTGCAGAAGCCAAAGTGGACCGGAGGTGCCAAAAAGCACAGACCAGACGGGGTGGTCCGGAAACGGCCTGGAGATCCAGTGAAACTTAACAAGCATGTTCCCTTTGGATGTTAAAATGAAGTGTAACATAGATATTAATGTAGCAAGTATCACAACACAGCAGAGGAATGTAAACTGGAGCACTGGGACATCAGGCTGGACGCTTACCAGCTGCACCCGAATACCCCCGCCGTCATAATAGCCTGGAAACCCCCCCCCCAACACCCACTCAAGTGGACAGCTCAGGCTCGAGCCTTGACTTTTCATCATGGTTGGCCAGGAGCGGGACCAAAATGGCTCCTTCTGTGGGATGAAAGTGTCTAGTTACTCATCTGGGGAAGAAGCAGGGTTGATTGTTGACATAAATCACTTGTCCTGGTGATGTAAAGGCAGCTCAGTGTGTGTGTGTGTGTGTGTGTGTGTGTGTGATGTAAAGTCAGCTGAGTGTGTGTGTGTGTGTGAAGTTCAGGAGACGTTTGTAAGCGTTCAAGACCTGCGTATGAATCATGTGTGGAAAGTTATATGGCTGCTGTTACCTCAGAGTCATAAGAAGGTGAATGAAGTGATAACCTCTCATGAGAATTGGACTCTTAGACTGTGTGTGTGTGTGTGTGTGTGTGTGTGTGTGTGTGTGTGTGTGTGTGTGTGTGTGTGTGTGTGTGTGTCTCTCCAGAGGTGTCCTTCCTGTGGGCTGCTCACCAGGTTCACCACAGTTCAGAGTACTACAACCTCACCACCGCCCTGAGACAATCCGTCACGCAACAGTTTACATCATGGGTAATGTCTTCTTGAAAACCAATCAAATTAATTGATCCTGCAAACAACCGGATGTGTCCCAACCAATGAACTTTTTACTCTTGTTTGATAAATGTTTGCTAAAACCTACAGTGCCCAGCTGTTTCAGGACATTATTTAGTCTTTTTAAGAAATGAAACTATATGTTCTTAAAGATTTACGTTCTTCAGTAGGAGCCACTGGGGTTAGCGTTGATGTCGTAGAGCAGCGTTTCAATGTTTCTTTCAGGTGATTTAATACTAGAAATTACACAGCATGTCCAGAGCAACCACTCTGAGTCCAACTGCACTGATTGACAGATTTCGTATTAAAACAGCCTCATAAAATAGAAAAACGTGTGTCTTCCCAGCCTTCACACATCAGCAGTGATGTAGGAAATGCTTGTGATGTTACCAAGTTTGCATATCAAAGTTAACATGTTTAGGGCGGAAAACATCCCATCTGTTGCACATAAAATCGCTTGCTTATGCAATATGTTAATAAAAGAGGAATTTTAACAGAAAGCAGAGGTGCCAGTGGCTCAGTCTTGGTGTGAGGTTGTAATGAAGACGTCACAGGACATGTTGTCAGATGTGTTCTGTGTTCATTTCCCTCCTCTCTTCAGATTTTCTACCTGCCCGTGGCTCTGGCTGTTCCTCCGTCCATCTTTGCTGTTCACATACAGTTAAATCTGCTCTACCAGTTCTGGATCCACACGGAGGTAAGCTTTAAAACACAGGTTATAGATTCTGTCTATCGGTCTGACCGCGGTTGTGAAAAACACTGAAATGATTTTGACTACCTGAATTTGGCAGAACGTCAGATGCAGTAGGTTTGTACAGCGATGACAGACGTGGTGTCGGGGCGTCACGGTGTGTAAACTAAAACAAGGACACTGTTGGACGGTGCATGAAAGATGATGTTGTACCTGTTGAAACATTTAACAGATGGAGGGATGCAGTTACACATTGTGTCCTATAACAGCAGCGATCATCGTCCAGCGGCTCTGGATGGGAGCATCAGCGTAATCCTATAAATGTGCACATAAAAAGATAGATTTACTGTAGATACTTATTCTTATAACTTCTATGGGATTGTTGAGTAAAGTAAAAGAAGAGGATACTCTTAAAAAACATCCAACCAGAACACATAAACCTAAATAAATAAGAATATATTTATATATTTGAGAAGGAACAAAAAAGAGGACAGTGACTTTATTTGCTGTTTTACAGGCGTATGATTAAACATTTAATCACATGCTCAATAATGAATTATTCTTAGTTTCTTAGTGTCTACAAAACCTGATTTGTAGATATAAATATTTTTGTATAAAACAATAATCAAATACAATCCAGCAGCATGTAGCACTGGCACTGTATGAATGTCCTCTTCCATTCACTGTTGCTGTGCAGAGTTAATCTGACTGAAAAAGAAACAACAGTCTGTAAAGTTATCTTTCTCCCCGTGCCAATACTAATCCGTCTGCTGAGTCGAGCCTTTGTAGACTCAGTGTTGCAGTGGAACCTGTATTCAATAAAAAATAATGAGATTTTATGAAATATTCCAAACAGAAGCATGACCACTGCGTCTGCCTTTAAAGTGACTGGGAGTATCACTTTTACAATCCCAGCGATCGTTAGAGGGAATGAATGGATTTGGAACGCCTTCCATCTTTTAGTGCACTATTAGTGAAAACAGTCATAATAGTCACAATTTTCTGAGGGGATGTAATTTATGCCTCCTTTATGGGCTTTTTTTGATGTCACGTAATTTATTGGCACACCATTTCGCTGCAGCCTCAGAGCCGTAGTGAAGTGGTGGAGACCCCTTTTCATTCAAGATAAAACTCTCACGCTCGGCTGCCAGACGCAGCCATTACATGGAAATAATGAATCACTGAGAAACTCTGTCCAGCCGTGCACGTTTCTCCAGATTAAGAGGTCGGTCGTATTGATGAGAAACATCAGAAATATCTCGGAGTCTCAACCAGAAGAGAAACTTGAACTGTGTGAAATATGCTCAGTGTGACCTCTGTAATCTTTAATGAGTCACTGGTGCATCTGTTTGATATCTAAAATAGGAAAATGATTCATGTCGGTTTGATGCTCAGAATGAACTCGTGCTGCATTCAGCTGCATGTTGTTTATACTATTCATGTGTATGTTTTCTTTCTGTGTGTTAATGGGTTTAACCATTATCAGCAGCGTTAACACCTTTACTCTTACTCTCCCCATTCCCACGACTGTAGCTGTTACACTACCAGTCAATAGAGATCGCTCTTCAACTCATGTGAGGTTGTTAATCAGCAAATAAGATCACGAATATTGACAGCTCACCACAGTAATATACTTTAGCTTTAACCTTCAGACAAGACAGGTATCCCATAATGCACCTTCCAGCAGTTATTCACAGCAATCTTTCGGTTTATTGCCTCTTGTTCTGGACCTGCAGATGGTCTAAATGATGTCCGTCAGCCTCAGTGTTGATCTTCCGGTTTACTATTCTTTACGTTTACATGTTTATATTCATGTGCCTCAGAGGTTAAACCTAAAGTTTTATAGATCACCTGATCGATTTCTAACTACCAACATTAGACTTGAATTTTCATTATATCAAGATCAAATGTGCGGATTGCCATGACCTTTACCTTTACAAAACCTTTTCTATTTTGTGATGGCTCTGAAATGGTCAAAATGTCAGTTTTGTGCACAAGATTCTTGTGAAACCGGCTGAGCGTAAACATGCTCCCGAGAGGATAAACCCCTTTGATGATCGCTGCCCTCCATCGTCAGGAGAAACGGGGTCTGTGGGATCGGGTTATGCTCAAAGAAAACTAGAAAATGTAAAAGGTTTTTATAGCAGACTATGTGACAGATTATTCCTTTAAAGTTTGGCTGTACCTCATAGATTTAACGTGCATGTCCTGTACATTGTTTCCTTCAGTTGATCCGAGACCTTGGGCCTTTGGAGTGGGTCTTTAACACCCCGAAACATCACCGAGTTCATCACGGTGAGATAAACTACAATCTAACAATCTAATCTTCTTATTTTACAATGTTTTACTGAGATGTTTTCTATGGCTGAGCTGCTATATCACCATCAAACGTCTGATGGAGACTGGGAGGTCGATAATTGCCCACGTCTGATCATGGTTATGTTTAATTTTGTCCAGTCCAATTTCTTTGTTGGCAGGTTGACCAGTCAGGCTTGGGAAAACATGCCACAGAGATAAAGGAATGAAAGGGGGCAATGGGTCCAAGGATGTGGGTTTTATTTTAGACTTCAAATGATTTCTGTGGTAAACTCACTAAGAATTATCTCAACAGGGAGGAACCTTTATTGTATTGACAAGAACTACGGAGGAATTCTGATCATATGGGACAGATTATTCGGTAAGAAAAAGTTCATCAGTAATTTGCTTCTATTTTTGATTTTTATTGCTTAAATTTAGTTAATTATAACTGTTTCAAACATCAGCGTGAGTGTTAACATGTGACCGTGTTCTCTATCAACACTGTGATACCTGCCTCACACAATAGGAGTCAGTCAATACTAAATACAAACAGACTCTTTATTTACCTTCCTTAAAGCTCCAGATTTTCTTCTTTTCTTGTCTTTTATTTGAAGTGTTGATCCATGAGAAGATATATTTGTGGTTTTAAGAACCAAAAACCATCTCAGTGTAGTTTAACATCTCCTCTCTCAGGCTTCTCTCTGGAGTTCTAGTAACAACAGGTCGGTGAGCCAATCAGAAGAGAGGAGGCTCTGAGCCTCTCCTCTGATTGGCTGACTATTTTCTAAGTGATCCAATAAAAATATAGCAGATTTCAGGTAAAAACACTCAGAGAAACCAAATCCTGCAAGTTTAGATGCTGGGTCCAGGTGGGCGGGGCTTGGTGGCTGTTTTGTTGTGACATCACAAAGTTCCAGAAGTCCTGACGGCTGGTTTTAAGGCTCAGTTTCTGAATACAGGCTGTGTGCATTTCTCTGTGGACTGAGGCTTTGATACTTTCACAGTATTAATATAGAAGCTAGACCTGATCTATAATCACACTACACATGGACAGAGACCTTCATACAATATGGGACCTTTAACTGCTAAATTACTATTTACTACTTTGCTAATCACAAACTGTTGAAGACGACAGGAGTGGAGGGGCTGAAAAGTTTGAAGTGTTAAAGCAGACTCAGACTGCGCTAGCCACACAGAAATTTATGTCATACCAGTTATATACTTTAAGTTTTAACTGTAAAATTTATATTTGTTTTTATTTTTATTATTATTGATGTGTTGAATTACTTTTACATAAAATTTTGCACATAAAGTGCTGAGTGTGTAACGTTTATGACTCATAAACAAATATTAGCAGTCTATGATGTAAAACTGCTCCTAAAATTTACAGTTGCACGTCTCAGTCCAAGTTACTACAATCTCCTGTGTACCATTGAAATATTCAAAGAAGTTATTAGTTTACTGCTTTGGATTTTCATATATCATCTGCACTGGTGTCTGTGATGTCTGCCCTGTCATTAGTTGTTATTGAATGGAAACCAAAAGTTGTGGTATCACCATTTATTGGGGGAAACTGTGACTCTGTAGACTGTAGGTTTGCCTGTAGCCTTTATACTGGACTCAGCAAGTTTGCATCAAACGTCAGTGAGAGGTAACTGATTAAATTTTGAGGTTTACATTACCCAGAAATCCCTTGGGCCATTTTTTTCCCCCCTCTCTCCATGGCTGCAAAGTTTTAGGAGGTTGATCCCAGATGCTGTTCTTAATACTTTTCCAAAAGCCTCTTGTCCCCATTTTAGCATCTTTCAGCTCATTGTTTTAGTTTCCAACAGCAGCAGCAGGAAGTTATCAGCAAAAAGAAGCTCTGATAAACTGACTGCAACTGTTCTTAGCCACGTCCCACACCAACGTTTACCTTCAAACAAGCTGAAAGAAGCTGGAAAACCTGCAGGGCAGCAAAGTGAAAACCTCTCTATCAGCTCAGTGTCTGAATCACAGATATTTATTCTGTAAACGAGACGCACTGCCATTTTGTTACCATGGATACCAGTCTGACTTTCCAACTTACACCTGCTCCATACTTGACGTAAAAGCACAACACACACCGGGCTTCGGTCTAAATGATGAACTAAGTCGGACGTTAACGTTACGCGCAGCTGTTGCACTCTGCTCCAGGTGTTTGAAATGTTCAATAGACTCAAGTTGAAGGTGTTTGTCCTTTTTTTTATTTTGTTTTGCAAATCAAATTTCCTAAATCTGTCCATCTTCTCTTCAGGTACCTTTGCTCTGGAGACAGATAAAGTGGTGTACGGCCTGGTGTGCCCTATCAGGACCTTTGAAATCGTCTATATTCAGGTTAGTCCCGGTGTGGCTACCATGAGCGATCGGCCGTCGGTCGGGCGGCTCACCTCTCCGTCCGAGCGTAAACACCTCCAGGAGATGAGACGTGAGCTCATGTTTCCCTCTTTGGCTGAGTGGCCATTTTGTAACCATAACATTATTACTCCACTCTAAACAAACTGGCCGGCTGAGGTGAAGGAGGCCAATAAAACGAAATGCCAAGGAGGTGGATGTTATGATTATTTTCGCTGCCCTCACAACTGGCAGAGCGCGGCATGAGCAATGTGCTGCCCAATGAAAGCAGAAACATTTCTACTCAGGATTAATTGCCGCAACGATTGCTTAGTTAACACTGATCAGTTAAATGTAGCGTTTGATTGTTCGTTGATGTTTGGCTCATTTTTTTTCTTCTCTTTTAGTTACACTACTATTTATATTTGTGGAGAAGGTCCAACACTTACAAAACTATCAGCAACAAACTGTCAACGTTCATCAAAGGTCCAAGTTGGAAACCTGGTGAATCTCGGCTGGGCAACCACGTCGGCAATCCCAAGGTTTGTGAACCAATCCTTTGTTTCCATCGCTCCTGAGAGAAGGGCATATTTTCACAATAATGCCCTCAGGCCTCATTACCCATCATTTCGACACAGAGGCCTAAATGACTCAGAGCATTCCTTATTTGTAGGATTCACATATTCTGCAAGTTTTACAAGGAACTGCCACATCAAATAAAAAGCTGTAAAGTCTTTGTAGAGGGAACAAAATAAGTTCATTTTCACCGTCTTTAAATGCAGTCTGCGGGATTAAAACCGCATGCAGTTGAGTGTAAATGTGCATGTTTGTGTGTGTGTGTGTGTGTGTGTGCGTGCGCACAGAAAGAAATACAGGCTTCCTCCCCATGCCCCGGCGGTTAGCTTTGAAATAACGCTGATGGTGTCACATATTTAGGTCCCTCATGCTTCACACTTCACACACAAAAAAAAAAAAAACTCCCCTTTTGCCTTTACGATTAAATTGGCCCCTTAAACTCAGCGGGGTGATTCTAAACATGGACCGAGCTGGAATTGAACTGAAATATCTTGAAAGGCTTCGTGTGGACGTCTGCTCATTGATATCTGCTGGTGAGGGAAAGAAAGAAAGGAAGGAAAGAGAGGGGAGCGAAGGAGGAGGACGGAGGGGTTGAACGTGTCTCGGCTGCTTGAGACAAAGCAGAGCGGCGTGCTGGAATACCTACAGGGTCGGGGATGGGATGCGGAGGGGGGGACCCACATGTGGCGGTTTGGTTCCTGGGAAAACCCCCCCCCCCCACCCCCCGAAGGAGAGACATGCATCTATGATTGGCCAGTTTTTTCATTCCCAAAAGAGGACGGCAGTTTCAACATGAAGCCCTCCGGTCTAATCACTTATCGTTTTGGATGCAAAGGCGGGAGACAAAAGCAGGTCAAGTGACTCAGGGCATTCTTACAGGAGGACTCATATGTTCCTCAGTGTTTTGGGGGGAAACCGCTACACCCAATAAATCCTGCACGACTTTGTAGACGGAGCACAACAAGCTAATTTTTACCAGTTTTGAAATGCAGCGTGTAGGAGACTGAAGTAATAGAAGGCCTTCTGGTTACAAAGGAAATAAACACACTAGAGGTAGAAACTGCTGGAGGATTGAGAAAGGTCAATTTGAGCCTGTTTTGGCATGAACATCTCGAGCTGAGAAGATTTTCCTCCATGATTTTTATTAGTTTTTCCCCTTTTAAAGGTCCCACACATTCAGACTGACGCTGTGTTGTTTGCTGTTATATTTGTTATTTCCTCTATCTCCCTCCTGTTATTACACGTTGACAGATTTTCTTGACACACAGTACAGATGAGTGAACTCTTAACAAAGGGACAAAGGACTTAGATGTAGAAAATAATTGTTTGTGGCTTTTAACTGTCTTTTAAATGCTGCTTTAATACACATAACACACTGTTCTTCATATGTATTTACGTCTGTCAGATTACAAGCTTTTTCACTGCAACAATAAACATGAAGCTACACTCGAATCATTTGCTGCTGTTTAAACAAGGAATCTCATCCGGTGTGAGAATCTGTCCAGAAAATTACTGGACGAATTAGGGATTGGGGAATTAAACATGTTTTATTTTCCTTGTGCAGGTTACTGGAAAGGAAGTGCCTCATGATCCCAGCTGGTCTCTGCCTTTACAAGTCTACGTGGTCCTGCATTTCCTGCTGGTGCTGCGGATTTACCACGATTTGTTTGAGAACAAGATGGTACGTAATCTTTCCCATTAGCAAATCTGTAAATGTGAGAATCTGCAAAAGAACAGAGGCGTTTAGTTTGTTAAAGGTTTCACTCAGACGCACCTCGACCTCTGCAGTCTCTTTTTTTTTTTTTTACTATCTAGACTTCTCAGGCGTGTAGGACTGAAGCTGGTGACTGAACTCTGGTCACACGCTGGCTACCGTTATGTTTAGGCTACTGTAATCCCTCATATAAAGTATGACAAGGTGGTCCTGGGTTCTTAATTTAAGACTGAGCGCTGCGTGTTTGTTTGCCAACATTATTTCACCCAATTATGCAGTTTGTTGTGGCTGGTCCACGGTCGAGCAGAGTCCTCTACTTAGCCATCAGGAAAAGACTAGCTCGGTCTAACATCATGACAGAATGACTGATCGGCATTCCCCTTTAGAACAACCTTTGTCTATTATTTTCCACTCGACGAGCCAAAGGACCCCCTTCCTCCTCCTCCAGGAAAAAAAAAAAAAAAAAAGAAGCAGGTCTCCTCAGCAGTTATCTTTGGAAGGCGTTTTTCCCTAGGCATAGTTTTGGTTAGCCAAAAAGTGCTGTCACGCCCAGCCCCTTCAAACTCCCAAATAAAATGGCCTGTCTTTTTTGTGATCGCTACCTTCATGGTGCTCCTTCAGTTGTGGTCCCCCTCCTCCCCCCATCCCACTTCCCCTCTCCTCTCTCTCTCACACACACACACACACACACACACACACACACACACACAAACACACACACACTTCCCCTCAAGGGTCGAGGGCTCCCCTCCCTCTCGGCGAATGAAACACCAGCTGGTGGTCCAGAAGTGAACACAAACGCCTTAATTGTCGAGTCAACCATTTCCCAACCCAAATAGCCTTCAGGATGCAGCAATCAGGACTTGGAGGGAAAATAACAAAGTGAGCACTCCGGCCCAACAATAAATCATGTCACTGTTATATATTTATACCCACATGTTCGCTAGCCACTTATTTAGCTTGACAATTGATGATACACTGCCGGACAATTTATGGGCTTTGCGTTAATTCGCAGTCATGAAAACATGGTTATTTCAAACAAGTGAAGCTACTCTTCAATTACATCATCAGCAGGCCAGCGTGTACGTTTTATTATAGGTTTCCTAAGCAGTTACTATTAGAGGCAGAGTGGGAAATTGACCAAGTAAAGACTTCTTCATCTCAGAGCAGCTTCTCATAAGTGGATCTGCTCTGGTAGAAAAAGCTCAGGTATTAGCATCAGCAGCAAAAAAAAAAGTTTTAGTAAAGATTTATATTAATTATCAAAAGAATAGGATGTGTTTTATCTGTGTAGTTTACCGAGGTTCTGCATTTTCTCAGTGAGCGTTCATGAACTTCATCATAATAACGTCCTGAGTAATGAGTTAATCTGCTGCGTCTCGGGGGACGGCAGAATAACACAATCAGACCGCCGCTCACGGCACAGCGCTGCCACCAGATGTTAACTTTCACTTCTGTCCTCCGCTGCTGTTGCCGCAGTTTGACACTTGATCACATTAAAAATTAGTACGAAGGAGGAAAAAAAAAAAAAAGAAAAGCATTTCCCTCCTCCCTCCATCTGTGTCTTTAAAACGTCCTGTAAATGTGACGGCACCTGACCACACTGAGGGATCTGCAGAGGACTTTCTCTGGAGCGTAGCGTCTCGGCCTCGTTCCCCCCGGGGTGATCGATAATCTGACAAAACAAAACAAAAAAAAATAATGAGATCATGTGACGGATCATGTCTGGTCTGCCTGAGCCCCTTGGGTTATTAAACACAGATAAGTTCACATAACCTTTGATACCAAAATAATTCTCCGCTGATTACACCTCTTACTAAAAATAACTGTATCTGTAGCCTTTGAACTCTGACGCAGCGATCACTCTGCTTTAATAAGCTTTGACAGTCTGCAGTGAGTTTAGTTCCTTAAGTCTGATAGATGGATCGAGCCCAAAACCACCACCCACACCCCCCCACACCCCCCCACCCCTTTTGATTCACGGGAAACTTAATCGTATCACCCTTCTGTGTTCCCATGTGAGTTCTCGGATGTTGTCGTTCTTATGGATTACAAATCTTGGATAAACACAAAGAAATGTTGCTATATTGCATCCTGTTGATGGGTTGATTTTTATGTTTACTATATATGGCCTTCTGGGTCCGTATTGTATGGGAGCAGTCAGGGAGATTTGGCTGTTAGGTTCTGTATTGAGTGTCGGAGAAATATAAACCTAAGCTGACAGCCCGCTGCATCCTCAGGAGACACCGGGCTTCCAGCTGCTGCCCCCTCAGCCAAGGCCGTAGGTTAGAGAACACGAATCAAACCGTACATCACGTTCTGTACTTTGTATGTTTGTGCGAGTCTGTTTGTGCGTGCGTGTGTGTGTGTGTGTGTGTGTGTGTGTGTGTGTGTCCACGTAGCTCAGAAAAGGTCAGTGAGAATCTGCCTGGGATTTCTGCTCCGATGTTGGTTGTTTTGGCTCCGTTTTTGGGGCTGTCGAGATCCAAGCTGCAGTCTCTGCCACTGTGGTCAAGTCCCCCGTCAAGACCCATCTGGGATGATTAGAGCGTCTATGTAAACTAGGCATGTCAGTGTAAAGTAAGAGGCGGTGTGCATTTTGCTGCAGGATACTGTACGTGCCAGTACACTTATTCTGAAGGTCAGACATGTTTTGGTTGGCATTGTGAAGTAAACAGTCGAACAGCCGTGCGGTTTACGACTGCTCTCCCAGTAAGGTCTCCTGTGATCGTAACTTAACCAGCCATGATATTGATTTAAGGTTTAAATTCTAATGTATTTTTTCCCAACCACATTTCTCATGGCATGTAAATGTATCTCGAATCCTAGATGCTGTCCCAGTTAACCATTCTGGGCATGACCATCTACGTTCTGCTCACCCTCACTTCCCTGGGCTTCATCATCGACCAGAGGTCAGTACTGACTTTTGTTTATGCAATCATTTCTATAGGAGTGTTTGAAGCATTTGCATGTTTGATTGAAGAGTGGAAAAATGTCGAAGTGGGAAGAGAGTTAAGCGAGAGAAAAGCCTCTGGTTATTTATGTCAGCGGTTCCCGACCTGGAGTTTGAAACCCTCCGAGGGGCCGCAACATAAATCTGAGGGTCGCAAGATGGTTAATAAGATGGGAAAGAAGAAAAACAACATACCTCTGCTAATGGTGCTGAAATGATTAGTTGACAGAAAATTAATCGACCTTTTTGATAATGGATTGATAAATGTCAGGATTTGCTGCCTAATTAAATTAAATAAGTAAAAGATCTTTTAGTTATGGCTGTCATTTGATTTTGAAATTCTACATGTATGAGCGCAACAGGCCGTACCTCAAACAAGCTATTTGTAAGTTTTGCTATTGCTTCATAGCTAACGTTAGCATTAACAGCTGTTTACTTACCAGTCTAAGGAAACGTTTCGGGTCCAGCATCAAACTTCATTCCTTCACTCACCAACAGCCTCCGGAGGTGGAAAACAACGCCAATATAAACTCTTGTTTCTGTCACGTCTTTTCTTCCGCTGAGGTTAGCATGCTAACCAGCTAGCCGGACTCGTCTTGTCACTTTTCCGATAGCGACTCATTGTAGCCTCCGATCTGCCCCGAAGACGTAGCGCTGCTCAGAGGGCGTGGTTAACACAAACTCAAGACACTTTAAACATTTTATTCTATGGTATAAAATATTTCTTTTTACATCTCTTAAAAAGAAAAGGCCGGTTGTGAACAAATGGCTAAATGAGGCTATATTTGTCAGGGGCAAGCGACAGTGGCCGAGAGAGGGCGTGTTTGACTGCAGAGAAAACCTACAAATAGCTCCTTCAATTCCACTGTCAGACTGTTTGTTTTATTATGTTTTTATGCAGGACAATAAGCTTGGAGCTAGGGTGGCTAGCACGCTAACAGTAGCATTTGTTTGAGCATTGGAGAACCTCACAATTTATTGTTCCTCATAGAAATGAATGAGGAGCGAAATCTGATGTCACCACAATATATTCAGGATAGGCTACATGGGTTGCCTTTAAGTCTAAGTGATTGAAAAGACAATATTTTCAAAAATAAATATTTTCTTGCATGTTATATACAGTATCAATTATGAAAAAAACTTGTCAGTTGCAATGCTACCTGGTGCAGACACATATGTTTTTTCAGACTGCATTTTATTTTATTGAATCGTTTCACTTCTTCAGGCCTTTAAAAATGATTTAAATGAAACGACCTGATCAGGAAGCTTCAGTCTTTGGTCAGACATGTGCACCCTCGCTTTGCTTTCAAGGCTCACAAGCCATGAAGGTCACGGTCCACTGATCCACGCCAGTCCACAGTCAAGACGTTTGAAGCCCCAGTGTTGGTGTTAATGAGCTGGTATCTGTCAGGTTAGAAAATACCTCTTCTAGTTCTTCAGCTGTCATGAACGGGACTTAAGTCACTCAGTCAGCTCTTGGAAATCGAAACGTCTCCCATTAAAAACTTGATTATTCCTGAAACATCAAAAAGGCCACGAGGTGAGCGTATGATGAAGAGATGTCAAGCTGAGCCTTGGTGTCGTGTTCATTCATTGATGTGTTGATGTCATGTTCAGGCCAACAGCGGGCGTCTTGGAGATGCTACGCTGTGTCGTCATGGTGACAATGCAGAGGTACGGCTTCATGAAGCCCCTGGTGCCTTCGCTGGCTGTTCCCACAGAGGTAAGACAACCTGCAGCGCACGTAGTTACAATGCAATTTGAAGACTCATAATGGCGGCACTACACCGGTGTTATAGAGGTATTTACGTGTCTTCACGCAGCTCCCTCTGGAACCACATAAGGCTGTATACAACACATGCAGCAGACCTATAAACAGACTGTGATGTGTAAAATTGATGCAGGTCCCCTTTAAGTAAGTGTTGACAGCTGTAGAGTTTAGGCTGAGCTAGCTTTAGCGTCACAGACTAACAGGACGAGCTAATCCTGGAGGTCCTGCTTCAGAGGTGATGAGCATGAAACAATATAATGCACTAATATAACATCTGCCAGTTCAACTTGTCATCACAAAATCATCGTCTATTCAACATCAAAATGTTGCACGGTGGTGTCTCTTCTCAAGGAAACCGTCTTTGGCCTGAGTTATAAAGACTACAGACAGCGGCCCGCAGAGACCACACTTACCAGACAACGGCCAGTGTTTGAATTTTGCAGTTTGGCCAACCCATGGAGTTAATTAGCGACAGCGGAGTTGTTATTTCAGCTGCGGATACTGACGGTCGCCAGCAAAAACATAAAAAAAAAAAGAAAAAAAAGAAAAAGCAAAGGTCCGGATGTCGTCATAGAGACCAGATATATTAGTGAATGCGGTGGTGCTTTTCCTGCAGGTGGCGCTTCAGCAACACCATGATTAAAATGGACGTAACACTGTGGTCGTGAGTCTGACTCAAACTACAACTTCAAAGCCCTAATAACAGACTGGATTTAGGATTTGACTGAACAGTGTTAACGTCAAGTTCCATTTAGTGGCTGGTTTTAGGGCTTTTGATCACAACACATGATCTTCATCAGCACATTTTCTGAGCACGTTTTGTCCCTTTTGGTGGAAACAGTTGAGATTCAGAGTTCACTCTCGACCTTGGAAACACCAGTTGACAAAACAACGTCTCAGCCTCAGGGTCCATTTAGTAGCTGCTCTTGGGGCTTTTGATCACATCACATGATCCTCATTTAGGATTGCTTAATTTTTCCCTTCATTTCAAGACTCAAAGTGTGTCGTGTGCTGTCCAACAGGATTTTAATGTGATGCTTCTAAATGTGGATCTGAACTGAGCATGAAAACTTTTGAATGTCCTTTCGAAACTGTTTCCAACACGGTTTAATTTTTATTTTTTCACTGTGGTTTAATGACATATTGTGGAAATTGTTTTTTTTTTTTTTTTCATTGGGGTCTAACTCAGAGTTTGGCCTGCTGCCTGCCACCCTCCATTAAAATATTGTTGAGCGTGAACCAGAGAATCGGTTTGTGTCCAGATTACTGTGCAACACTGAAACTCAACTCATATTTTACAACAGTTTAAACTCAAAGTCGACCCACAACAAGACCCAACCAGCCAAATCAGCGTAGAGCGCATGTGTGTGTGTGTGTTGGGCCGGTTACTAAACGTAGGCCTGAGCCTTTTGTCTTGTCACATTATATTGTGGGAACATATTGAAAAAATAATTCCTCATCTTGGAAACTGTGGAAAGTTAATCAAACAAACACTGGGAAACAGCGGGAAAGACGGGAGAATCATTTTCATATAAATAGTGACGCGTCGTAATGAAATGAGTGTGATGACAGAATAACACACTGAACTCTTTAAATTAGGAAATCGTTGTCTGGGGAACATGTGAAGTCTGACATTAAAAGCATGTTTACGAGACTCATCATCTGATTCTTTGACAGCATCATGTTCCCCCAGAGTGTGTGTGTGGGTGTGTGTGTGTGTGTAACCTTTTTTGCCTGTGATTGTGTGTGTTGTGTGGTCTGTTTTGTGTGTGTGAAATATGTGCGAGCTGGGTGCTAAGTCCAGCCCCGCCGCCCTGTGATCTATGAGTCCAGATGCGTCGCCCAATTGACCATAAAATTGGCCTGCGTTTCTGGCTCTGGCAGCCCAACTGTAGATGGCGGCTGACCTCTCATTACGTTCCCTACCTCTTTTTTTTTTTTCTCCCACCTCCTCCACCCCCTTCTCTCTGCCCGCCCTCACTGCTTCGCCGTTTCAGCCAGTGTGAACGAGAGCAGCACTTCTGGAACCAATTAGTGCCGTCTGCCGCTAACTAGCGCCGGCTGATGAGATTTGCACGTGAGCGCTGAGTCGCTGCTTTTATTGTCCTGCGACTCCACATCTGCTCTGCTCAGGTGTTCAAAAGACAAGTCGAGGCTTTTCCTCCTTTTTACTTTTTCTCACCGTAAAATGGAATAAAACTGAATGAATTATAATTTTTTAAAAGCACGTGTCTTAAATGAAGTGCACATCCAATCAGCTTCACAGTTAAAAGAAGAAAAAAAAACTGTCTTGATTTATGCTGCACATGCTGCGCGGCTGTGTCACTTCGACAGCACTGTAACTTTCATGCAGGCGTTTCCTTAAACGAATCATTAGGCCTCATTTCAAGTCGCACTACATCAGATTGAGCTGCATAAATGTCGTGCTTGCAGGTGGGGCTCATTGAAAATCCTTACAATTGACTTGAAATGGTTCCTGACATATTTGTGCTCTTTGTTCAGAGCTGCAGCAAAGGGGGGAAAATAAAAAAGAAAACGTGAAACCACCCCCAAGCTTTAAGGTACTTTAATGATATATGGCTCTGACGCGTGAGGTGAGCGGCCAGGTCTTTGTTGCAGAGGGTGGAGGGGGGGGGGCGTGTTTTGAAGTCGGGCCAATCAATTAACAGTCACTTGAAATGGAGGAGGGGAAATTCACATTTAATTGTATTCAGGCTCATGCGACTGTACAGTTGGGAAAAGCAGGGGGGGGGGGGGGGGTGGGGGGGACTACAAAAAAAAAAAACTCAAAAAACTAGGTCGGTTTGTGGTCCTTCAAACCCAGTGGTGTGATATACTGCACCCTTAAAGCTCACAGTGGTATTTATAGTGGCTCTGGAGATTTCCCTTGTAAAGCTGCAGGCTTGACCTGTAAACCAGGGCTGCCTCTCGCTCCCAGCCGCCCACTCACCCACCCAAACCCACGTCTGTGCGGCTCACATGAAGGCCTCGCTGCCGCACAGCAGACGAGACCGGGGCTGGTAACCGTGTGTGTGAATGAGCGGGGGGGGGGGGGCAGGGTTGCGTGAGGTTATAGCTGTCTGTGCAAGAGGAGTTATTTGTTTGTGTGCGTGTTTGCTGTTGCTTCTTCGTAACCTTGGATCGGACAAAGACAACCAAACCAACGCTGCGATACAGAATGAGGAAATGAGAATGATGAATGAGCCAGACTCATTATTTAACATAAATGAACCACATAAGCATTTTACTGTAGAAAAATAAGTGCAAATTGTGTAATGGTGACAGTTTTCCTAAATTACTGCAATTCTGAACTGCAGTTTAACACTCATCAGATTTAATCACAAATAGCAGCTGATTTTATAACCACAGTTTTTTTTTTATTAATACTAGTAACATGTAAACAGACAAATTCAGAAAACATCTTCATCAGTTTCACAACACGTGCGCTGCAGATACTCACATGCATGTGTATGTGCGTGTGTTTTTCTCTCAGGGCCACCGTAGGTCATTTTAGTTCCCGCTGGTGTCGGATCAGTTGTGAGCGTATGCGTGAGTCTGGAGTGAACCCGGGTGAGGTTGTCCTACTGTCTTACTCTGCTGTGTTTAGAGGACGACTACATTTACATTCAGTGAAGTGATTGGTTAGAGTAAGGTGGATTTACCTGTAGTGATCCGTGTTCGTTTTGGCGTCTTTATCATTTTCAGATCTTCATGGCGACTTCACATAAAGTCCAGCTGCCTCCGTCCACTGAGACCACACGCAGTAGTAAATATATAACAATATCAATATGACGTTGTTTGGCAGCTTGTAGTGTTGTTGGCTTCCTGCCAAGTCATAGTTTGTGCCTTAAAGCAGTTTTAGCTTCAGACGAGTCATTTAACTAGAACCAGAACCAGAGTCTAGTTTGCTTAGATTTTTTAGCCTTCCAGTCTGCAGACTGTGCTAATATTGCTCCTGTTAGCCACGCTAAGCTTCAGAGGACATGATTAATCATTATTTTCACTATTGATTCTGGAAATCCTTTTCTCAATTAATCATTTAATCTATTAAACATCACAAAATACAAAGAAAAAAGCTCATTGCATCCAATTTACAATCATATAAAACAGAAAAGCAGCAGAGGCCTCTCTGCATCACAAATGACTTAAAACAAGTAATCAATTATCAATAGTTGTTGATTGTTTTCTGTCAATCCTTTCACCAGATTATGTCACCTAAATGCAAACCTAGATTTTCACCTTTTATATATGTGAAGTTGGCAAAATAATAGAAACAGCAGTTATTTAAATCAGCACCTCTCTGACAGTGATTTATCTCGTTAGCTTCACAAAGATTGTTTTTATTGCAGAGCTGTTGTACTTGATTGCATTATGACGCCTGGTGTTATTCAGACCACCCCCCTGTCTGTTTGTGTGTCCACATGTTACTGTGTGGGGTGTGTGTGTGTGTGTGTGTGTGTGTGTGGGGGGGGGGGGTGATGATGTAACACGAGGTTGTGTTAGTGTGTGGGCCCCTGGTTTTGCCTGAAGGCTCAGGGAAACATGAACGTAGACGCTTTGTATTCGAGAGTAATTAAGCAGCGTTTCTCTTAAAAAAAAAAAAAAAGAAGAAGAAGAAGAAAAAAGAAAAAGAAAATCGGCCTCTAACCGCTGGTGAAGTCACAGTAATTTAAGAGGAGAGCTCATAAAAATACACCTGCCTGCCTTCGGTTGAGAAAGAGCGAGAGCTTCTCAGGGATTCCTGTTGTGGAAAACATTTTAGATTTAACTTCCTGGGTTAAAATCCAACAGGAAAAAAAAAAATGGAGTTTGGCATCCTGCTGTTTTTTTTCCAAGAGTTTCTGTCAGTTTTCCATTTTTTATTTTTTTTATTTTTTTTAGTTATAAATCAAAAATAACCCAAACAGAATAATAAAAAAGCCCAAGAAGCTTTTAGCATTCAACATGTACAA